CTTAACGGCTTGGATTTGGATTACATGAAGCTTGAATCATATGGCGGAACTTAATCCACTCAACCAAGTCAGTGGCTAGAGCAGCAATAACCGCGACCCAACGCCAGAGGATCGCTGTCAAGCGCCGCCACTTGCGGGGCTTCCCGAGCCGTTTGGCAGCGCCAGTCTACCAAGTAACTGGGTCAGTGGCATGCGGCATGCGGCATGTGGCAAGCGCAATTGTGTCCATTATGCTAGCCGGCCGTCTTTGGTAGCGGCTTTTGTCTTTGGCCAACTGCATTTGGTCTTCTTTGAAAGCATCGTTCCACTCGCGTTCTACGCGGCGTATGCGCGATGTCGCCGAGCTATGCACAAACCTTGACAAACAAATCTTAAATCAATTCAACTTTCTGTTTGCTTTTTCCAGAGACGTCACCAGTTCCTCGACTATAGTTCACCGTGTGTGTGTGTGTGTGTGGGTGTGTGTGTTTGTGTGTGTGTTTGTGTGTAGCACGCAAAATTATTCCCAGCAAACGACCCTTTGCCTCTCCTCAATTTTGAACTCTCATCGACTCCAACGACTTGACATCGTCATTGCCGGCTCGGTGTTGAATAACGTTTTGTGATTCAATAAACTTTCAGCAATTTAATTCACTTGACGTCGCACATACATGCATACATAAATACATGCATATACATACATTGCATGCACACATAGCACTTACATGTGCCAAGTTTTATTGAACTCACAATATAAAAGAATATCGCTTTAGATCGTATGTCCGTAGCTATTCCAACACTTAAATAAAACATTCCATCAAATAACATGCCAAAATTTGTGACGCTGTCAAAATCAATTGGGAATCAATATGTGTGCCTAAACATGCGATTTAATTAAACACTCTTCACAGAGCATATCCGAAAGAAAAATATCAAATATATAAATGATATGATATGACATGATTTATCTGCCTAGAGCTAAAAGATTGATTTTAGCATGTGAATATAGTATCACAACCAACAACAACATGACATAAACATTAAATATGAGCAGGTTGTCTCTCTATATCTTGTAAGAACCTCCCAGATCTATCAAAATCGGGCTACTAAAATACATCATTCCCAGAAAACAACAAGTCGTATATTTAGTTACATTTCATTACAATCGAGTTGAATATAAATATATACGACGTCTGATATACATTTGTAAGTGTATAAAACCCTTCATAACATTTCTCTTATATTAGAATTGTACGCAAATCTTTGGCTAGCTATATTTGATTGAAGGCGAATGATTGAAATTAGTACACATTGAAAATATCAAAAAGGGCTATGATGGTTTTGTGCAAAGGTAGAAGGAGGCATCTCTGATCCCATAAAGTATTATATATATTCTCCTATAACATGTGCAGTACGTGTCTATCATTTTTAGTCACCAGCTCGGCTAGTATTACAAAAAAATTATAAGAGCTTAATGCACCAAAGTCATTTTGCATATAACTTGCTTAAAGATCGGACAGTAAACACCGAAGTTAATGAAGAATATATATTTTAAATAGTTAATTAAAAAGCTTTGCAGCTCGCGCCGTGCGTTTGTTTTCGTAAGTAGGGTTCTGTGTATCACCCAGTCGAGCTTTTCCGACTTGCTTTACAAATAAACTCGAATTAAGATTTATCTAGATTTACAAACGAATTCTATTGGAAATCAACAAAATTCTATTAGTATATATCCCGATAACGTTTTATTGAAATTTTCGTAAACGAATGCAATTCTTTTGGTCTCCCTGCATAAATCAGCGCATATAATATACTGAAATCCGGCTATGAGTTCAGAGCTCTTATCACTATTTTCATGCAAATGGTGTATATGAATGTATGGTCATAAATCTCTACACATTTATGTGTATATGTAGTCCAAGTAATTAATATGCATTCGAATTGCTGTCAAGTCGATGGGAAAAACAAGTGTTCAGTTCCCAACTAATCTGTTTTGGCTTTCTGACTAATTGCTATCAATCGAGGACTGTCACGATTTCCAAATCAATTTGCCTTTGGCCCTGCTCTGAAGGGATTAGGTCCGTGTGCAAATTGTTTTGCGCACCGCCCCCCTTCCCAACCCTATTGTTGCTTGGGCAGGTCTGCAAGCCCAGCAAATATGTTAGGTATTTGGTTCATGGTTCGAAGCAATGTATGAACCAGAATGTATTTATTTAGTTTAGTTCTAGTTTAGTTAAAGATACAACTTATAGTAATAAAAACATTTAAATTCCGGGTTCAAGCCGGTTCGTTTGACACTTACCCGCTTTGCTGTTGGCCTCCGCATCGCCCTGTGCCGTCAGCCGCTCCGTTAGCAGCTTATGCAGCACGCCGTATGTGTTGATTAGGCCAAAGATGACGCCGTTGCATAGGAACGCACTGACCATTACCAGCCAGGCCCTCGCACCGCCATCTGGCGGCTCCTTGCCGTGTATATCTCGACAGCAGGGCGCCTCTATGTGTACCTGAACGCCATTCGACTGGCTCTTGCCGTTGGCTGTGGCTCTGTGCAGCTGCCCGTTGTTGGCCAACGTAGCGTGTCCATTGGCCAGTTGCTCGGCACTGACAATACGACCATTTGGCTTACTGGCGGACTCGTCTAGCGGCTCATTCTCGGCCATGGCTGCGGCTGGATGTCAAAGCGTGCGGTTTCTGAAATTTCAACTGATCACAACACGCCTCTGGCACTATCTACGATATGATCCGTCTATGCGGTTTATGGCTAAGCAGCGCAAGTTGAACGGGTACTCAAACAGTTGCTGAACCGTAAACCGTCGCGATTTTAGATTTAATTGTAATTATCTTTATTTGCACGGCGCATTTTCAACTATAATTGAGACTTTTCTGATGCAATGGTATTTATAGTATTCCAGTACTTGAAAGCATTTGATGGTACAGAAATCGGCAGATATGCGACAATCAATAAATGAAGGAATTTAAAATTTAATTGTTTTAAGTAAGAATTATTTGTACATATGAAGACTTTGTTATATAGGAATACTATGTATTTATGTTTCTACGTGTTTATGTATTGTATACGTTGTTTTATACAATAATATTATACCCCGGCAATCTAACTGTTTTTTTTTTTCATACTTTCAGTAAATGTAAGAGGTCACGTTTGAAACTTAGAGCAACAATATCTTTTCATTTCAATAGCTCCACCTTGTTTTTTTTTTTTTTTTAGTTAATAGAAGCTAGAATTTAACAAAAAAACAAAAAGTCTTCTTCTCTTCTCCCTTCTCCCATATTCCTGCTAGTAGCATACCCTTGATTTTAATATTTAAAGTCTTTCTTTAAGCTCTTACAATTGCATAAAGATCTGACAATAAACACAGAAGTTATCTAAGAAAGTTTGTGTAGAAACAAGTACGGAACGCGTTTTTACGTGTTTCTGCGTCTGTTTTCGTATATATCTAGGAGCAAGTGCTGACAAGCAGCTGATTGCAGGGTATCTTGCGCCTGCGAGCACATTCACAACTATCAAAGATAATGTCTTGAAATTTATAAGTTTAGACGAAAGAGTTACGTATTAGGCTTCGCTTGAAAACCAATAGATATTAGATCTTAAAAAGGATAAATGCGCAGTATATCAGCATTGAGTTATTATATAGTTCAAGGTTTGAACTTGGCTGCACATATTACACCGACTTATTTAAATGGTGTAGTTTAATGGCCATGGCTAATGAAATTTTCTACACATCAGACTATTTAAACACAGATACTAATGTAAGCCTACATATATATATATATATATAAATTAAGACAATCGTGTCAGCAAGAATTTAAGCTTTTAACACGACCACAAGAAATGTTTTTATCAATAATTACTTTTGGCTGGCATTACAAGCCAAACGAAAAATTAAAACTATGCAAAAAAGAAATTTGCCCACAACAATGCCAAAGTCAACGACGCGACACAAAAACAGCTACATTTTCAATGATATGCGAGCTCAACAAAGTTGTAAAATCTGTTCATATTTCGGTTTCTGTTTGCACCCATTTGGTAGGGAGCATTATCAGGGCGCACGTGTCCGACGAAGCGCCAAAATGTGCGTTTCAGGGGGGGTCACAATAAAAAATCGAAGGTAGCTCACGATTACGCAATAAACAAACTAGATATGCTTGATGTAACTAGAGGAGCGTGTATTTAGTTTGAAAACTTTTGCCTTACAGCCTATTTAAATGCACTCGGACTTTATGTTGAACGTTTTTTTGTTGATCCCCTTGGACACTGTACGGCGCGTTTCGCCGCCACTGGATGTCAAGACGTAGACTTTTTGATAGCCGCCAACGAATCGAAAACCACACACAACCGAGCGCTTGCGTTGCCGGCAACGGAATGAAAAATAATTCAATTATTTTCTACGAGCAGTTTTTTTTTTTTTTTGTTCGCAAAAATTTGTCACTTACTCACGAGGCGCCTAATCGGAGACGGCGGACCAAGCACAGCACAGCACACACACACGCACAACACACACACAACAGACACACACACACACACCGTGAGATTGCGAGCATTCTCTGTGGTAAACAAAAAACAATCGACGGCTGCTTCTGCTTTTGCGGTAACGTTGGCAACGGCCGCGCGAAGATGGCCACATAAACAAAACATTGCCAAAGCAGACGAACGCATTCCAATCAGAGGTTATATTCCCTACTCTATGAACTGAGATGCATTCGTTGATTTTAGTCAAATCACATGATCACTTGGTGTACCTAACATATCAATAAATTGTGGGGATTTTGTGCGACCAAAAAGGTTCAATTGATTTCAATTCCCAGAATTAGAAACTGAAGTTTATTGCCCACGGACAACACTGAGACATGGTCTTTTTTTTTTTGTATATTATAAATTGATCATATCCGTTGTGGCAGCCACACATCAAAGTAGTCCCCCCAGCATTAGCAGACATTTCAACTCAATGAGTCCGATTGAAGCATTTGTGGCGCCTTGCTTTGAAGAAATCCACACACAATGCGAATACGCAAAGTGGTTTTTGAGTTTTATGTATTTCGCACAAACGTGTCTACTACATAATATGCTATAATATAAATATATTCGATTTAAAAGTAAAATTTCAAACTTACGTGTTAGTGGAAGATTCATTTTAGTTATAAGTATAATACTAAGAATTGAGCTTTTCAAACAGTCGCTCTTCAATTCACAGGCGCCGCCTCAATGGACATGGCCGTGGGCAGCGCGCAGGGCGGCTGATCTACAATAAGCTTAAAGTGCTTATCAGGCCAATCGAATTCCAGACGCTGTGTGGGTTCCGTTTTGCCATCCAGTTGTGCATTGCGAAATGCCTCCATCATGCGTGGCACCAGATCATTTGGTATGAGCACCTGTATCCAATAGCCAAGCACGCCAAAGGGCTCGCTGACGGTGACGGCGGCTCCCGTTACAGTTTCTGCGACCAGGGTCAAGGCCAGATGCTGTGCTTTAAATGTGAAATGCCGGCCATGGCGTATGCGATCCTAAAAAAGTAAATATATTAATCTTGATACACTATAGCCCACTAATGTCTCGGGTGTACCTTTATGGCCAGCAGCAAGTACTTGGCCGCATAGGGCGCCAGCGTTATTTCAATGCCATCCAGCGATATGCAATCGGGCGCCTGTGGCTGATTGTCCAGCGGGCATGATTTATGCAACGAGTTGCTGCTCATCGACATGGACTGTGGAAAACTGGGCTCCTCGCGCTTCATTTGTGATTCAATCAACTGCCGATTATTCTCTTCACTGGCGCAGCGCTCGTTCAGGCACCGAAAGTCCACCTCCTCTTTAATGGTTGTGGTTGGCTTGAGCTCACGAAACGTAAACTCCGCATTGACGCCAGCCAGGTCAGAGCCCTGTTTCTCTAGGTCGTCTTGAAGATTTAGCAATGTCTCTGGAAACAATTCGAACACGCTCATTGTGCGCTGCATATTGGTAACCAGCCAATCGCCGCCTGTCTGCACGTCTTTAGACAAAAAATTCAAGACGCCACGGCCGTTCCAGCGTGAAGCCTGTTCCAGTTCCTCCTCGGTTACGCCAACTATCTGACAAAAGTCCACAGTGCCAAAGGGTGTGTCAATTGAACCCAATTGTGGATCCTGTGCCACCAGCAGGCTTTGCATGCGCGAATTGGCGCTGCCGTCCAAACCCTTGCGCCAAGGGATATTGTCGCCAAAGCACAGACCGTTGCCAGTTTGGAAACAGTAGCGCGCAATAGATTGCAGCAGATTTGCAGGCCAGGTGGGTGGCCTGATCGATTTTTCTGGGCATTCCTGTTGCTGGCGTAGCTCAGCATCAGTCTTAGCCAACCGAAAAGTCAGCTCAAAACCCATGCCCGAGCGGGTGGTGTGCTCCTCTTTGAGATGGACGCGCTGATCGCCATGCAAGTCGCTAAGCCCGAAGCTAACATAATGCCAGTGCGGGGGTATTCTCTCTGATTCGCCCTCGCCCTGGCCCCTGTTGCTGTACATGCTTATATAGTCGAGCGGATCGGAGCCACCCAGCCAGTATTTAAGCAGTGTCGTCACCTGCAAGGGGTTCGGCTGATCCGGATACACAGATATCAGGTGATCAATGAGAGACTTCAATCCAGGTGGTGGCTTTAGCTCTGCATTCTTTTCTGAATTTGTTGGTGCAGCCATAATAAAACGTTCGTGTTAAAACAAAAAAAAAAAATAAACATAACTAATCGATTATCCGAACGATAGTATCGATAGACACAATAGGTATGCAGCTTAGTATTTTTAGTTAACTGTTTATTTGGTATTCTTACTCTTGCACAACGCGGTCACACTGCACACGACACCGCGATTTAATAGGAAAATTTTGCAAAACTTTTATAAACGCACAAAATGGAGCCCTATGATGTCGTAGTCAATCAGCCTGTGGTCATAGACAACGTAAGTGAAACCTAGCATAGAACATCAAATAAAGCCCAACTCAGGCAGCTGCCACATTGGCTGTCAACCTTTTTGGCACTGACAAGTGACATCACCAACTAACACGAATAAGCCAAGCTGCCACTGCCCGTCCCTTTGTCCATGAAGTTTTTTTTTTTTTTTAACAGCATTTCAACTGTTTATGTATGCAACTGTAAAGAATGACTAATGGCCAAAAGCTTGATTTTTACTATTATATACTGAAAGTGCCCAAAAAATTTAGCATCGAAAATATTTAGAGTAACAAAATAATGATAATGGTGCAGTTAACGTTTGAACACCGTGGACGAATTCCTTGAGAAGTGGGCATCTATGCTTATGCTTCCGTCCAGATTCATGCGTTGACTACATTTCTCCGGATACACCACCGGCTGGCGTTCTTTAACCCAATAGCCGGGTCCAATTAAAGCCTCATAATTGCGATCTGGCTTGATGCCACAAATTCCGTGATATTGGGCAAATAGACTCGGCCGCTGCATCTTATTAAACGGATCACGATAGTAATCCCTGTATTGTTGGCAAGCCAAGTAGAAATAATCAAGTTCCTCCATAACCCTGTAGTTGACGCACGAAAGGCCAATGGGCGGCACGAATTTCAAGATCGGCTTGCGCTGTATACGTAAACTCTTTGACACACCCAGCATGTCAACCTGGGGAATGGTTCGGGAGCCCATGTTGTGCTCTGTATTTAAATTAATAAATGCAGAAAAAAATAACAAAATAAACAACTAGTGTGTTGTGTGTACAAAAAATATTTATGAATGTCTGTTACAAATATTAAATGAATACTTTTACAGGGCTCCGGTGTGATCAAAGCCGGCTTTGCTGGCGAGCACATTCCAAAGTGCAGGTTTCCCAATTAGTAAGTATTGCTACAGCACAATGCAATTCCGAACCAAGCTAATCATGTCATTTCCCTAGCATTGGCAGACCGAAGCATGTTCGGGTCATGGCCGGTGCCTTGGAGGGCGACATTTTTGTTGGTCCCAAGGCGGAGGAGCATCGCGGTTTGCTAAGCATACGCTATCCCATGGAGCATGGCATTGTGACGGACTGGAACGATATGGAACGCATATGGAGCTATATATATAGTAAAGTAAGTTATGGTAGCTTCTAAATCAACAGCTACTAATTTCTGTACGCTTATCCCAGGAACAATTGGCCACTTTTACGGAGGATCATCCCGTTCTTCTCACTGAAGCACCATTGAATCCGCGTCGTAATCGCGAAAAGGCAGCTGAATTCTTCTTTGAAGGCATCAATGCGCCAGCGCTCTTTGTCTCCATGCAGGCAGTACTCAGTCTGTAAGAAATTTGATATCTTAATACACATGAAATATGTCTAACTTTGAATATCATCAGTTATGCCACTGGTCGTGTCACGGGCGTTGTGCTGGACTCTGGTGACGGTGTGACGCATGCAGTTCCCATCTATGAGGGATTCGCCATGCCTCACAGTATTATGCGTGTGGACATCGCCGGTCGGGACGTTACGCGCTACCTAAAAACACTCATACGCCGAGAGGGCTTTAATTTCCGTTCGACAGCCGAGTTTGAGATTGTGCGATCGATCAAGGAGAAGGTCTGCTACTTGGCGACCAATCCACAAAAGGAGGAAGCTGTGGAGACTGAAAAGTTTGCATATAAATTGCCAGATGGCAAGACATTCGAAATTGGACAGGCTCGCTTCCGTGCGCCCGAGGTGCTCTTCCGACCAGATTTATTGGGCGAGGAGTGCGAAGGAATACACGATGTGCTAATGTATTCAATTGAAAAGTCGGATATGGATCTCAGAAAAATGCTCTATCAAAACATTGTACTGTCGGGTGGTTCAACGCTTTTCAAAGGTTTCGGTGATCGTTTACTTTCCGAACTGAGAAAGCACTCTGCAAAGGATCTGAAAATCAGGGTAATTGAATTGTTTACATTATGCAATTGTATATCATAATATGTTTATGATTCTGCTTAGATTGCTGCGCCACAGGAACGCCTGTATTCCACATGGATGGGTGGCTCAATTCTGGCATCGCTGGATACCTTTAAAAAAATGTGGGTATCGAAGCGAGAGTTCGAGGAGGAAGGGCAACGTGCCGTGCACAGAAAGACTTTCTAGTTTGTTTAATTCATTTAAACGCTATGTGTAAAAGGCTTATTAAACTCAATATCAAAACCATGTGTCAGCTAACAACAAATATCCCTACAAATTGAAATTGAAATAATTTTGCATGTATGTGTTATGCATAAAATAGGCGCAAAGTATTTAAAAATGCTATTTATTGAATTTGCTTACGCGGCATAGATAATAAAGACTAAACTCTAAAAACAATAGATTCCAATCGATATTAAATGCAGCCAGAATTGAATGTTTGCCAGTGGGCCATTAATAGTGCCATACATTAGTCATACATAATACCATATCTGAGCCGTTTATTCAATTGGTCAGTTACGAAGAGCTCTCTCGTTCAGCTGAGCTCATGGATGACGCGCAAGTTGATGTCAGTTGGTTTTCGGTTGTTTATTCGTTCGGTTGTGTCTCCGGCAACCATCTCCATGGCAACGGCCATACAAGTTTCTGTTCGAGCTGCAAATATTTGTCACGGATTGTGAAAAGCAACTGAATTGAATATTTTGACATTCGCAAAACGCATCGACGTGGAACCGCATTGAAAACTCAACAATGGCTCAACTGGAGGGGCGAGTCATCGAAACGGAGGCAAGTTCAAATATTATATACAAATTGATAAGCTCGCAAACTAGATTATAATCATACTTGACTTTTCACATACTATACCTATATTTAAACTCGAGCTAGAAAGAAAATCCTGTGCATCTCGCACAAATATTTCTACATTTGTTAATTCTATTACAATTGCTGTTCGTGCACCTTAATAATACCTGTTTGCCTTGCGCATACACATATGCATACACATGGGTGTGTGTATGTCTCTGCATAGATATTCAATGTATGTATAGGGTATTGTCTACAACTCAGCTGTGCTGTGCGAATAAAATATTTATTCCTGGCAGACGTGTGTCAGTTTATTGATTTTATAATTAACAAAACAATTACAAATAGGGCGCGTGAAGAGACTTGACTGTATTTGCTTCAGTTTTCCGTGCAAAGCCGGGTAATTCTTATTAGCATTATTCTTATAGTTTAGCTTAACAATTAATTTTGTTGATATGCCATTTGTTTCTTGCAGCAAACTATAAAGAATGCATGGCAGGTACGATATTGTTGTTGTTTCTTCGATTAAAACTAACTAACTAACCTAAAGATGCTGTCTCTAGCCTTGTACCCATTACAGCAGCATTTATTTGCACTTTTGACTAATTGGTTTCAGTTGATAGCTGGTTCTATCAGCTAGGCACAACATGTAACAGAAGAATTGCAAAGATAAGGAATGTTAAAAATTCAAACAAAAGTGGTTTCAATTCACAGCTAGTTCGAGTCTTGCGGTGAACAGACCTATTCCCAAAGATGGCCTCAGCTGTGTGTAAACTCATTGAGAATTTCATTTTGAATAATTGGAGCTAACCTTCGTATGCTTTTTGTTGCCCACTTCCAGATGAAAGCCATGGACGCCAATCGCTATGCGACCAAAAAAACTATTGCCCAGGGCATGCTGGATATAGCCTTGCTGACGGCGAACGCATCCCAGCTGAAATATATACTTCAGGTCGGGGAACAGCATCAGTTCTACAAGCTAATGCTTATACTCATTAGCTTGTCAATTGTTATGCAGGTAAATAGTTAATTTGTTTGGTTTGATTTTTTTGGTTTTGGGGTTGTAACGGCTCGTTCTCCAATGTCATAGATACTGTCGGGCGTATTAAGTCTGTCGCTCAGTTTATTGCGGGATTGCCGAATGCATCAGCCAGAGTTCCATCAATCGGCCAATGTGATCAATCATGTGCGCACCGGTTTTGCGTTTTTTACCACAATGATAAATCTTTTCATATCGGCCTTCGATAGTCGCCTGCCCCCGCCACAGGGCAATCTTCTGAACGATGTCAATTAAATTTGTATACTATCTAAAGTTAACGAAACTATATCCAATCGATAGCTGATCCGATCTGTTGAAAATGTGAAAATTCGTTGCTCTCTAAAAACAATCTCAATTTTAATTTCAACAGCTATTGGTCGGTATTATGTTTGTGGCCATCGGCAGTCTGAATATTAACAAGCAGCAAGACCAGACGGCAGCCATAATATTGAACGATGTGATATTGGTGGTCATCTTTGTAATATCTGTTCTGAATGTTATAATATCTGGTTTCGGCATCGAGTATTCGTCACAGCCACTAAGACTCATCGATCAGCATGCTAAAGTACCGTAGTTATAGTACTGTTAAGTACACTTAACAGTTATTGATGATTAGCAATTTGTAAAACAGCATTATTAATATTTTGTAAGATTTCTAATAAATAATAAAAACGGTATATATCATTATCTTATTTTTTTTTTTATATGCAGGTGGCTGCAGGAGTTTTACTAGTTGTTCAATCTCTTGTCAGCATTGCCAAGTCGCAGAATCGTTCAATACTTTTTACAGTCAATCATTTTGTGGATGCCTTCATATTTTTATCTGTGTTCTGTGATATTTTAAAAATGAATTTTGGCTTGGATCCAGCTATACCCTACAAAGTTGATGAAGTTGAAGTTTTCAAAACTTAATTTCGATGTTGTAATCAGCAGCCTTATGAAATTTCCAAATATATAAGCTTTTAGATATAAGAATCTGAAGTCCTTTTTCTATGTAAGTTTTCAGTATTTTAAATCAAGAACTTTAATACTGCGTTTTATTTAATTGGTATGTACACACTGACAGCAACAGCACGGCAACACTGTTGACGGCGACAGCTGTAAAGTTATCGATAGTCGATAGATAAAATATTTATTTTCAGCAGCGTCTATTAATTTTCTTTTTGGCGGTTTTAGTTTTGTTCTTAAGGTTTTTGATTTTATGCTTATACGCTGAGCTATAAACCCAAAATGTCTGACGATGATTGTGATATTTTTGATTTGCCTGTTAAACGGATAAATGGTAAGTGCAGCATATTTGGCGTTATTTTAAAACTCATCTGGACGATTCGACTTGCAGCTGCCCCCCAAAAACAGTTTGTGGAGGAGCAGGAGTCCAGGCAAACGGACTATGATTTTATTAAAAGCGATCAGGTCGCCAAGAAACCAACAAAAGTCACAAAGCCCAAGCCCAAACCCAAGGCGAGAGCGGGCAATCGAAAAAAGCAAACCGACGAGAAGGAATCCAACAATAATGAAATGGAGGAGGCGCCGGCGCCAGCTGCTCGTGCTGCTCTGTCACCTGTCTCGCAATTGATTTATGAAATGGAGCAAAAACAAGACAAAGCTAACGCCAAAGCAATTGATGCTTTGCCAGTTTCCAGGCGCACACGCTCATCGCTGGGTAAACATTTGCCCGCACCAGAGCAAGAGAATGATCAAGAAGCTCCAGTAGCTGTAGGGGGCTCTCCCCCAAAGAAACGAAATGTTCGTAGCAGAAAGAGCACAGTGGGTGCAAAGACGGCAAACTCTCAGACAGTAAATATATCTGCGCCCAGTAGAAGTCGTCGGCAGGCAGCTGAGCTTGCAGCCCGTTCGCGTGTTGTGGATTCCATTGATCTGGTTTCAGCTGTTGTCCCACGCATTGAGGGCTTTGTAAGTGATTAAACAGTTGTAATACATTCGAGTAGATATTAATATAGCGTCTCTTGAAACTGAAGGTAAACTTAGACTCGGACGAAGACGATTCACACCTGGCCCTGGCAGAAGAGTCAGTTAAAGCTGCTAATAATTTTGATGAGGATAATCCAATTATTCAGATCAATTTAAATTGGTGTGTACTTTTATGAAATCCATAATTAAAACATTGCTTAATAAACGATGTTTTTCAGGCTTGGTGAAATGCAATTGTATCAGCTAAGGCAACATCAAAAGTTTGCGCACATGTTCAAGGAAGTTTCTCAACGCAACGTCGTACCTATAGATGATATTGTTATAAACATGGATGATCTTTTTATAAGTCCAACGGAATCGCCGCAAAGCGTGGGCGTGAAAGTCTATCACATATTGAGTGCGTAGAGAATTTAATTTACTATCAAGCTTTTATTAATTAATTTTATTTATTTTTATAGGTGGACGCGCTATAAAATCGAATAAAAACAAAACCGAAGCCAAGCAAGATACTAATCTTATGTTGAAACCTAAGAAATTTCAGCTCAAAGTGCAGTGCGATAAGTGGAAGAAACCGTTGATAATACCAATAAAAAGAACGGAACCTTTCAAGATTTTATACATCAAGTGCGCAGAAGAAATGGAATGTGATGTTCAGGGTTTCAAGTTGTTGTATGCATACTATTATTATAACTATAAATACGTTTGTCATTCAATTATCTATATATTCTTTGTAGTTTTGATGGCGAATTACTGGAACCAGATGATACGCCCAAAAATCAGGATATGGAAGGCAATGAAGTAATTGATTTTTGCTCCAAATGAGAGAAAATACTTTTAAGTTTATTTAAAAATTAAATTAAATATTTATAAGAGCCCAATAGCTAAATACGTATTTAAAGTAATATTCATAAGATATGATTTTATATTAAGTTATCTGTGTAAATATTAAGGTTCGACTAACGAACAACCCATTGCGAACCCAAAGTTTTTAGGCTATCGTAAAATCTGTGTGTTTGTTTTTTCTAGAGCTAGCAAATAAAATGTTTAATTGTAACTTTTGGTTCATTAGATAGTTACATTGGTGTCAAGCTGCTGCTGAAATGACAAGCGCTCTTGAAGTAGCGCACATTACAGCATCCAACACCCTAAGATTTCTTTGCACACCCCTAATATTTTGTTTATCTAGCATAGAGCGTTGCACACTCACACACTAGCCGGAACAAAACAAAATTATTGTTGATATGCGTCTTGGCAGATGATGTTTTGTGGGGTGTGTGCGTATGTGTGTGCCCGGGGGTTGGTGGCCCATACTACCGGCTATTGCTCTCAGTATTACTGGATCTCCCTTGTTTGCCCCAAACCCTGTGCAACTTCCCTTGGAATTTCGCTGCACAAATTCTGACACAGGATAATAGCAAAGCTTTCGAGCGCAGCTTTTGCGAGAATACAAATCAGAAGCTCTCTCCTGCTTGGTCAGCTGCCAGTTGGGCGAAACGATGAGCAGAACGAGTTTATCCTTCGTGCTAACTAGTCGCATTTTGTTCGCGTTTGTGCATCAAATAATAATAAGCATAATAATAATATATAAAACAGACGTCTACATTTTGGTTGATTTTTATTTAAGTGAGGCCAAATATAAATTGTGCTGCCGGTGTTTTATTTTTGTACTGTCCTGCGCTTAGTTTAATAAATTATTACAAAGTTTACACAAATATTCTACAGCTTTCCAAGCATATCCAATTATATATGTATATATGTATATTTATTTTGTGCATTGTTTCAACAACTTGGCGCCCAAAACTGTATGCGAAATAAAATTCTATGCAAACGAAGGATTCTGTTTTGCGCATTCAATTCGAACACGGTAAGAGGCCTATTTGCTTATGTTTTTTTTTTTTTTTTTTTTGTATTTTGTGTTCTTTTGTTCATTGTATTCAGTGTGGATTTTGTATTGTTTGTTGGCTGGCTCGTGGCATTGACAAATGTGTTTATCATGTTGGCTTTGCAATGGGAACAAGTTAATTGACATGCCCCAGACACAAAAGCCAAACAGCCAAACACAGCGAACAGGACCGCACTCCAGCTCCTAACCACAGGAGCTGTGCGTACGTGTGTGTGCGTGTTTGTGTGTGTGTCCCTTAATTATTTATGACGATTGTTGGCATTAATATTTGAACATGAATGCGCTGTGTTAGGCTCATAAACATGCATATCAAACAGACGATTGTGTAGCTTTAGCTGTAGCTGAAGCTAAAAATAAAACGTGACACCTGCTAAAAAAAAAAAAAAAAAAAAAAAAGTTACCTAGTGCGTGGTTAAATCCGCTCGAGGTCACTTGTCGCTCCCCCAACCATCCACTTACTCTTCCATGGCCATGGCTAATGGCCCACACACAGAACGAGCTAAGGGATTCAATCCCAAATAGCACTCTGAGGACTATTCTGATTGCCAGGCATCGAATTGTGTCGATTGGCCTTCAGAATTGGAAAAAAAAATTGCATTTGCTCTCCAGACTGCCTTGAGTTGCGTGTGTGTGTGTGTGTGTGTTGTGCATCGTTAAAGCTTTTCCGAAATAAAGCTTTAAAACTGCACCTGATGTGCCCTTTTTTTAATGTTTCATTAAAACAAAAACTTGACTCATAACGCTTACTGAGAGCAGGTCTAAAGCGCAATTGCGCTGTGTAAAAATAATCAATTGGTCAAAAACGAAAAGGTAAATACACACACACACACATCCATACATACTACTCTGCATACAGAGTGTTCATGCTTTTGCTCTCTCGCGAGAGCAGCTGTATTGTCGATTCTGCTTTGTGTCGCATTCGTAAACGTTTAACAAGCAGCTCAGCTTTGCCTTTAATTTAAATTTTGTTTTTATTATGGTATATAAGCTCTTTTAATTATTGGAATCTTGTCGCAGGGTATCCAACAGAATATCATAACGAGTTTTTGTTTCTTGCTGTTAGTTTATCCTGTCGCGGCAGACCGGAAGTAACATAGCAAATGACACTTTGGGGCACAATTTGCACACGTGTCGCATAGACCACACACGCACACACCACCAAATAGACATATGCAATGCTGACTGCATTGTCTTTTGGGCCTGGGCCGGCCTTCAATGCCACAAACTTTTTTGTATGCAACAAGCAAAAAGCATAACAAAAAAAAAAAAAAGAAAACAAGCTGACGCCATTTTGGCATTAATTCTGGCCACTTGATGGCCAGGCAAAAACAAACTTGCGCTAACCGTACGTTGCGAGTGGTTGCCATTAAAGGGTATTCGGATTTTCTATTACACTCTGCACTCTTTCGTTAGCAATGCAAGGCTATAAAGCGACTTGGAGCCGGAACGGAACCAATTCGTAACTCTGCCTTGAACTATATCTAACGCCCAGTTGAATCAAAATTTAAATCAAAAATTTCTTGTTTTTAGAAATTTTATCATAAAAATATAGGTACAGCTATTATATTAGGCATTTTTAAAGCCAAGTCTGCGAACTGCCCTGCGCCAAACCTATTTGAGTTCGTAATTTGACACCTTTGTCAACTCTAAGCCTCAGCTTAAATTGAAATAATCTTTGTTTAAAATGTGGTGTTAGGCCAAAAAAAAATATATAAATAAAGTAAATTGAGTTTATAATAAATTGTTTAAGTTTATATCAAATGTTTTAAATAAATGCAATGAATTGCTGTAAATTGTAAAAAATGCGACGAGCCAAGATTCGAAATTGGGTTCGTCAACGTGGCCAACCAGATTCAGGAACCGAATCCAAAGCTGAGGCAATCGTACAGACCATTTTTGAGTTTGCAGCTCTATTAAAAGTTGAACCATTTCTGATTGCGACTAGGAAGTGTATCGAAAGTTCGTCACATTTTTTTTGTTTTTGCTTCCGTCGTGTTGTTTGCAGAATTCATTTGGACTGTGGCCTTTTGTGTTTTTGGCTTTTTGTGTACTTTGGTTTGCCACAGAACAGGCTTGGGCCGAGTTAACATTGCAATGGCGATGGCTGCCGCCAAGTGCTTTATAACATTGTGTTTTAACAAACAGTCCAAAACAATTGCCTCGCATCGACTCCTGTGCCAAGTGCTGCCAACG